GGGAGAATACAGTATTGGGCCAGTCCCTTGAAATGATCAAGATCTCCCAGTCGATCCAAACGGATCAACAATTCGTACCCACTTGTTGCAGCCACTTTACTGTCCCCTATCCGAAGGCAGACGACCAGGTTTATTATCAAAGCAACACGAAATGTTTTCGGTCTCTGAAAGCTGACCTCAGTCTCTGAGTGACTCAGTGAGTGTGCACATGGCTGCTTGCTCTGCACTGCAGGAGGGCTTCAGAGGAAAAAGCCAGAACAAGCCCAGACCCACCCCCACTGCCAAAGAGTGACTTCTGAATCATAGCGACTCTGAGACTGTAAATCTTTATTGGGAGCAGACAGCCTCATTTTTCTCCTGAGCAGCAGCTGGTGGGTTTGAACCACCAATCCTGGGTGTAACAGCCCAAAGCCTAACCCACACTGCCACAAGGGTTCCTAAACCTACCTTGGCTCTTCAGGGTGTGAAAGGCAGCTGAGAGAATTCTGTGTTAAGAACACTTGGTTAGACCAAGTCAGCTCATGGAAAGAATTCAGAAGAGAGTTTTTCAGCTCCAGAATGATTTCTCCCTTAGGTCCTACTTTTATTTTTAACACACACTAGCAAGAAAGACTCTGGCAAACAAAGAATTTATCCAAGATGTGATGAAATAAGGAACAAAGACAACTGTTTAAACAGGTATCACTGAGCAGGGCTGTAGGGACCTATCTTTCCCAATGCCTCTCCCCAGCTCGGAACACATCAGCCAGCCCTATGACTACACGCAGACACACAACAAAGCAGCCAGGAAAGCCTTCCCAGTCCTAAGGTTCAACGCTGATGGCACTCACTAGGCTCCAGCCCTGTGGGTGGAGGGGAGACCAATCAAGGTGGGTGAAGGTGGGCACTGTAGTGGGTACTAGTCAACAGGACTGCAGATTTAGCTCTTCCTCAACGACCCTCTCCTCACCGGCTCTTTTCTGCACCCCTGCCGGGGGTGAAACCGTTTGGGAGAGTGTTCTCGTATCATGCTGGCAGTCTGCCTGAGCTTTGGTGAAGGCACAGTACAGCCAAGGGGGAGGGAGGGCCAAAGGAAAGAAGGGAGGAGTGAGGTCAAGGGTTGATGGAACAGCCTGGAAGCTTCAGAGAAGTAACAGTATTGGGACATGGGCGGGGTCATCTCCACTCCCCTGGATTGACCTCATCTCCTTTTGAAGGTTCCTGGAAACCCAGCCAAAACGTTGAGGCAGATAAGAAGCTCCTCAAGATAACTCCCTGAAAAAAAAAAAAATGACGTGGCATTGTGCCGGGTAACTGCAAGGGCTGAACCCACGAGCGGCCCAAGAGACAGGCCGTCTGCTCGGTGAAGACTTCCAGCCGTGGGAACCCTATGAGTGAGTCCTACTCTGTCCTATAGGGTCTTGCTGTGAGAAGTCTCATAGGGGGGGATCGCCATCAGATCATTATAGTGAGGAAAACCACATTGCGGCACAAGAGCAAGAGAGAGATGGAAACGGACTGATACATCAGCAGGGCTCCATCGACCGAATCCCAGGGTAGATGAGATGAACAAAAACAGTCAACTTCTGCAAAAACCTTTTAGGAGGAGCCTCTGGTGTCTGACAGGCCAGAATTGGAGAGGACAAAGGAGCTGGCTCTCTTCTATTTGCAGAGCTTGCCTCGAGGGGGACCCTCCTTATCTCTGCCCCTATCCTTTTGTCTAGGAGTCCAGGTGCCTCAGTGGTTATGTATGGGCTGCCATGCACAAGGGCAGCAGGAGACCTCCAGTCTCGGAGGGAGAGCGATGGGGCTTCCTACTCCCGTTAAGCGCCAGTCTGGGGAACTCACAAAGGCCGTTCTACCCTGCCCTACAGAGTCCCCATGGGTCGGCATCCTCTGTGTTGTTCCTGTCCCTCCAGGAGGCATGCTCCCCCCTTCCTCTGTCTTTCCCCTAAGCAGCCTGCTCCCCCTTGCAGACTGCGAAGTTACTGCTGTCCTTTCCCACCTCCTTGGGGCTTCACCTTGACAGCCTGGGCGCCAGAAAGTTAATTTGGGGAGGTGGGACTCAAGATGGCATCTGGACTATTTTAAGGCCTAGGATGAAACCAAGGTTCTGTCAAGGGTGCCTGTGCTTTAACTAAGTGGGAACCAACTTGACCGGCAGTAGGTTTGGGGGGCTGGGTCTCTTTTATGTCCTGTATTTAGAAATATCACTTCGGTCCCTGCTTCCTGAGCACGCTCCGAGGTCTCACAATGTTGCACTGGTGTTAAGTACAGATGGGTAGATGGCGTCAACTATTAAATGTTGAGAGGTTTTATGAGCAAACTGAGGGTAGCCATAGAAGGCAGTAGGCAGTGTGTGCGGTGAGCTAACTCGGGCATTGTTGAATGCTGGGCTCTGCCACTGGCTTTGTCCTCAGCCGGCCCAATTCCTGAGCCTCGGTCCCGTTTCTGCAAGATAAGGTAGTTCGTGAGCCACTCTCTGGAGGTTCCCACCAAGCTTTCCTCGAAGCGTTTCTGCTATCCATCTTTAAAGTCAAATCTCTATTTGAAGGAAGACAATTGTTCTAAGAGCTGGCTTACTCCAAGACGTGCTTAATTCTCCCAGCTGGCCCTCACACCAGGGCATGAAGAGCAGGGTGCAAGTTAGTGCTCGCCATGAACGACCCTGTGAGGGCCAAGTTCAGGGCCAAAGACCCCCTACGATGTGTGTGCACACAGAGCTGTTGTACACAGAGTCGTTGGAAGTCATGGCTGACTCATGGCAACTACTAGCAAGCCATTCACAACTTCAACAACTTCTAGAAAACCTCTGGCCACCAGGTGTTACTTTTTGGTTTTAATCTTCTGTAGCCATTAGGTGTCCCTGGGTGGCACAAATATTTGTTAAGTCCTCAGTTGAAGCAGCTAAATGCTCAATTAAGCAGTTAAGCCAAAAGGTTGGCACCTTGAACTTCAAAAGCACTTTGAAAGACCAAACCAAACCAAACTCACTGCCAGGGAGGTGGTTCTGACGCATGACGGCCAGATAGGGCAGGGGAGAACTGCCCCGTGGGTTTCTGAGACCGGTTGTCTTTAGGTGAGGGAGAAGCCTTGTTTTCTTTTGCGTGGTGATTTGGTATTTTCAAATGGTGGACCTTGTGGTTTCTCACAGTTGAGTTTGAGGTTAGCAGCGACGACACAACCAGGGCTCCTGGTTGTTGATTCTTTGCAAAAAGCCACGGGCTGGGAGACTCTGCGGAGTGCAATTCTACTCTGTGGAACATGGGTTCATCAGAGGCAAATCCTGTGCTGTTCACAATCCTGCAACAGCAGGGTCCCCGAGCAAACACTTGGCTAGATAAAACACACAGGGTAGGAGAGGGGGAATGGGAGCAGACTCATGAAGAGAAAATGTATGGTAGAGTTTGACGGAGAATATTTGTAAGATCCAGATTTAGTTGCACTGTGAACGTATCTGTGAATGTGGTGGAACGCACAGGGGACAAAGCGATGAAGATTTCCTAGCCGTAACCAAACACCTCGAGGGAATGAGTTGCAGGGCCTGGGGGGTCAGGCCAGCGTCTGGGAGACCCCAAGGCCAAATGGCACAACACAGTTCTCAAAAACATGCTCTACATCTTTACTTTGGTGAGACGTGACCAGGGTCTTAAGAAAGTGGCCATCGAAGGTGGCCACCTCCCAGTGGAAATAAGGGTGAAGATCAAAAGACACATGGAAACAATTAGTCCAATAGACGAAGGGCTCCTGTAGACATGATTCTCCACAACCCTTATACCAGAAGAACTAGATGGTGCCTGGCCACTCTGAAAAGGATCACATTAGAGCAGTGGTTCTTAACCTTCCTCATGTTGAGACCCTTTCGTACAGTTCCTCATGTGGTGGTGACCTCCCCAAACCATAAAATTATTTTCGTGGCTACTTCATCACTGTAATTTTGCTACTGTTATGAATCGGGTGACCCCTGTGAAAGGGTCGTTCCACCTCCAAAGGGGTCTCGACCCACAGGTTGAGAACCGCTGTATTAGAGGGTCCTGGATAGAATGAGAGGAAAACGTAGAACAAAACTGGAAATCACAGACTAGGCTTAGCCCTCACACGGGGACAGGCAGGGCCCCTGAGACTATGGCCCTATGTCACCCCTTCAGGTCTAGAAGTAACTCACTTTTTAAGATCGAAAGGGTAGCATTTGCCCAACAACGAAGCTCAGAGGTTAGGAAAGAAGGGGGAGTAGGCCCTGGAGGCCCAGGGAGGAAGTGGGATAAGTGAGGATCTGTTGAGGGGAGTGCAGTAGACGGACTGAATCAGCACACGTATGAATTCGAATGTAAACTATGCTCTGCTCTGTAAACCTTCACATAATTCATAATAAAAAGATGGTTACAACTTTAAAACAAAATAAAATCTAAAGAAAAAAGAACCAAAATTCATAGGTTCAGCCCGAGTTGATGGCAGCTAACACCACTGTCTACAGGGCTTTGGACAAGCTCCAGTCCTACACACACCTTGTAGCTCTGATGTCCCCAGACTTTATCTTCTGCGTTCATCTGACAGCTCTACCCGACTGTACCAGCAGAGAGGAATGCTAGCAAAACATTTGTTACCCTCACTCCCTGTGGTTTCTGAGAGGCTTCAATAATTAATGACCCTTTGACCATCAAAGGAATCCGTCCAACTGAAGCTCCTGTTCAAGCTAGCTCTTGGTATCTTCTTCTTTCTTGCTTGGTCTTGAGGTTCGGGTCCTGACTCCACCTCTTCCTACGTCAATTCCTCGTTGGAAACAGTTTACGAGTTGCTTCATGAAAATTACTTTGAGCCAGGAGCCCATTTACAGCAACAACATAATCAGCTTAAGACACGAATGAAATGCAGTCTAAAACAAACTTTTTTTCCATCTGTTTCTGATGGGCTATTATATTACACTAAATGATATCTATCTCTTTTCTAAGACTAAGACTCTTCTCTCTTCTGTTGTTTCTTTCTTCTATTTCGTGTAAGTCTAGCATTAAGTACAGAGTTCAGTGCTCGTGTCAGCAGCACATACACTAAAATTGGAATGACACAGAGAAGATTAGCATGGCCCCTGTGCCAGGATGACATGCAAATTCATGAAGCGCTTCATATATAAAAAAAGTATATACAGTTCAATAGTTCTGATTAAGCAATATCAGTTTGAGATCAGTAACCCTTCCCTCGATTCTTTCATGCCAACAATGACTGCCTGGTGGAGTGTTAAAGTGCTAGACTGCTAAAAAATAATAATAATAAAATAAGGTCAGTGATTCAAACCCAGTAGCCCGCGGTAGAGAGATGTGAGGCCTTGGGAACCTATAGTGTCCCTACGGCTGGACTTAGGGCAGTGGGTTTACTGTGCAGGTAGAGGAGAGAATGGGGACAAGCGGCATTCTTCATTCTTCTACAGGATAATCATGAGCTAATTTTGAAACATATCCTGTAGGGAACAACAGATCAGGCCGGAAACAGATTTCTTATCTTTCTCAAGGGCTCCCACACGTGAACTCCCTTTGTGATCCTCAGAAACCATAAGGATTGCTGAAGAAGAGGGGGGCAGGAATCGGAAGCTGGTCCCATTCCTTATCCGTCTTCCTTAGTGGTCAAATGATTTTCTTTGAGGTTGTCTCACCATCTTCTTGAACCCTTGTTCATTCACCTTTCAAAGGGGCCGAAGTTCCTCTTTTGCTACTAGATGGTACAAAGGCAAGTCGGAGTATTCAAGGGTGTAAATCAGCAAGCCCAGCCACACCAGCATCTAGAATTCTCACCAGTCCCCTTCTCCACAAGCTAAGGGGACAACTGCTTCTAGGCAGTAGGCTTGCTTCCTTCTTCGGATTGGCCAGCAGAACTATAGCCTCTGTTTTCAGACAAAGATTCGGTTGGGTCACATGAAAATCCCTTAAAAAGGTACTGCGATAGTCAGCTCTGGCTGAAGTCTCTCTCATCTCCCAAAGTCACTCCACTACGGTAGCCATCTTTTTCTTTTTTGCTTTCTTTAGTAAACCTTCCATTCTTTAGTCCCAGGGCAGGCATCTTGCTCACGTGCCTTTTACAAAGAAAAATTTCCCTGGCTGCCTGCCACCGACTTCCCTGCCCACTTCCATTTTAAGTCATTTTTCTTGGACTATTCCAAGCTCGTCTGCAACAAAGGGAGATGCCAACACTTGCTGGTTTGTTCTTAAAGAAAACGTGACCCAGGCTGTTGGAAGCAAGCAGGAAGATTTTGTACTGTCACGAGGCCAGGGTTTCTCTACCACCGCTGACAGGCGCTCACAACTGAATTCCTGTGCAAACCTAGCATCGCAAACTGGTCCTCCTGTCGTGGGAAGCAGCGTCCAAAGTTTGATGTGCTTTTCAACACCTCTTCTCCTGGCTGATGATCCACTTTGAACTGAAGGGCCCCCAAATTCTAGCTTTGGCTAGTTCTGCAAAGGAGTCCCTGGGTGATACAAGCAGTGAATGCACTTGCTGTTAACCCAAAGATCCAAGGTTTGAGTCCCTCCTGAGCTGCCTTTGAAGAAAGGCCTGGCAATCTACTTCCAGAGAGCCAGCCATTGGAAACCCCGTGGGGCACAGTTCACTTCTGGTACCCGTTGGGTCTGGCCCCATGGACCAGAAGGAAGCTGGCTTGTTCTGTAAAGCGGCAGCCCTGCTCTGTCTGTCGGCGGCTCATTCTGATCCGACTTCAGGAAGTGACATGGTGGGAAACAGGCTGGGTGGTTTCCTGCTGCCCAGTTATTTACAAAATGGCAAATTCTCTGATGCTTGAAAATTTCATCCTAGTACTGACTTGGTTCCTCTAACAGGTATAATAAAGTAATAAAACGGATCATTCCCAATCTCTACTGAAACGATTTAGCTCCTTCCAAAGCTGAGTCATAAAGAGTCTATACTAAATATACAGATTAAAAGCATCGAAAAGAAATGGTTCATTTCATACAACTAGGTAGGATGTGTGCAGTACGATGGACTGCTTTCCTATTGCCCTTTTCACCATGGTCCTGTAACCCCCACCAAATGACTGTCTGGGACCATGCAAATGAGGCACTTGTGGCCCACCAAAGGGATTGGCTAGCTTGCTAATAATGCAAATAAGGTATATCGAATCCTAATGAGGCAATTGTCTCCTGCCATCCTGATAGGCTTAAGATGAGCCATTCCAGAAGGAGAGGGGACCTCACTATCAGCAAGAATTACTACTAGAGCCAGGAGGCAGAGAAAGTTGTAACACTGGAAGGTGGTTCGAAGCAGCAGTAGAAACAAGAGACTGGCATTAGAAGGGGTGGTGGGGAATCGTGGGAGCACTGACGCCACTATTCAGTGCCTTTGGGCTAAGGCTTGCTGGAGTAGGGTACCCCCTGGCACTCGCTGGAGGAGCTAAAGAGCTTTGTAACACTTGCTTACGCAGGGTAAAGGCCAGGGCTGAGAGCCAGAAAGAGGCCTGCTCAGGGCCAGGGTGGAGAAAAGCTGTCTTGATCACAAGTTTGAATTGCTCTGATCCTAAACCTGTTAACCCCCCAAACCAAACTCACTGTCATCCACATCTGTTCAGACTCCCCGTGACCCTACGGCTCCAATAACCTGTTAGTTCCCAGCTGCCGGTCTTAACTCTCCTCCTACCTTGTGAAGTTAGAAGAGGTTACATATGCATAAACCACCATTGTTTATATTGTCAGAGATTGAGGGTTCAAGCGAGCCCATAGGGCTAGGCTCTTGGGTTCATCAGAAAGGCCTTTTCTTTTAACACTGGAAAGAAAAACGATCACGTTATCCTTATTTACCCTTAAAATTCACTGCCAAGAAAATGGATTAGGATCAGTATCAGCTATGCTGCGAATTACGACTCCAGTTTTGATACAAATAATGGTGTAAACACGTGATACACTCCCGCTACCTCCCTGAGCTCCTCAGGTACACGTCCTGAGGTCAGCTGTGCAATCTTTCTTTTGAAAACATTATTACTAGTGTGGTGAAAAACATAAAGCACTTGCCATTTCAATTGTGCTCCTTATGAGCACACTCAGCGACAGTAATTACGTTTTCCACGTTGTTCGATAGTCACGTTATCTTTCCAAGTGAGTGCTATACGGACAAAAATCCAGCTCACACCATTTTCTGCAAAACTGACTTAAAGATAAAAGAGGTTGTTTAAGCTTTTAATGCTATCCAATGATTCTGTCTTGTGCCTGGTCTTCCCAGGCCCATCCCCAGTAGGTTAAATACTTTGGCTGTTACTTCAAGGTATTTTGGATGGGAGTTAAAAGCACCTATGTACACTGATCTACCAAACTGGTTTAACTCACTGGCACCGGACCAGATTTTTTCCCCCATACTTGGCTCCCAGTGGCTCTCTTCATGTGGTAGAACACAAATGGACCAAACCAACTGACCAGAGCGACAGACAGGTGGTCGGCTCTTGTAATCAGGTCAAGGCATGAGGCATCAAATACTTGAGAGTCACACGGAAACACATCTCATGGAAGGCCGGAGGGGAAGGAGCAGTTGGTGTTCTGGGCTTTTCTATGAAAAGGACAACGCTTCTCTTTTTTGGCAGTACCACAGGTGACCCTATCGCCATTACACTCCTGCTCATTGGCAAAGGACTTCTTCCACCTTGGTGGTCAACACTTTCACGTCTAAAAAAAAAACGTCCCCCCAGCTTCTTCCACTCCATCCACATTACAACCCTGCCAGGGCTCATGGCCCCATTTTCTGGATAAATATGGCAAGGGGACCCGCCTGAAATCATGTGACCTGTCAGTCCTCCCCACCCACATCGTCACAGATCTGCCTGAAATCCCAGTTCCTGTTTTCTCCCACTCCCACATGCTTCTGAGAAACCGGCTCACAGCCCACGGGAGGCATGGAAACGTAGGGAGGGGTTGCTGCTGGAGACAGATGCATGATCTTGGCAACGGAACGGGGAGCATTTAACTTGGCCTTGAGGTCAGGAGGTGAGAAAGGTAAACTCCCTTCTTGGGAGGAAACCCTGACAGAGGTCTCTCGTCCATCAGAAGGCCCAGAGGGCACCCGCCTCTGTCCACCAAGAGTCCAGACACACAGAAGCCAGGAAGAGATTCCATTCCCACCAGGGGGGCCTGTCAGTCACTGGACACGAGCTTTCCCAACATTGAGGATCCCACCCAGCTCAGGAGGCAGCTGGCACCCGGGCCTGCCGAGCTGCAAGGTACTGTCAAAAACACCGGGTCGTCCAGACCTGTCACCAGGCCCATCCCCCGGGAGCAGGTAAGGGGCAGGGGGTCCCCTCCGCGCGCGTCATTACCCGGAGCTCGCCTTCGGTGCGGTGCAGTCCCAGGCGCCGCAGTCCCACCGCCAGGTCGTTGACACACAGGCCTCCGTCGCGGTTGACGTCGAGTGTCTGGAAGAGGCTCCACAGGCGCAAGCGGTGGTCAGGGCCCCCGCAGATGGCGCCGCCGCACGGGTCCCCTATGGGCGCAGACGACGAGGCGGCGGAGGCGGCGTCCGGCGGCGGGGAGGCCACGCAGCGGCACAACACACTGCTCACCATCAGGCGCGAGGCGGGGGCGCCGGGCGCGGGGCGGGGGCGGCGGTCCGGCGAGCAGAGCGCGGAACACACGCCGGGCAGCAATCGCCGGGTACGCTCGCTGGACGTCTGCTCACACGGCGGGCGCGGGTTCCAGATGCCGGCAAGCTGGCGGGAGGGGCTGCTTCCGGGAGCCCCGCCCCGCCGCGCGCCCATTCGCCGACCACGCCCCCGCGTGCACCGCAGACCAATCACAAGCCCGGACGGCGAGCAGGGCGGGGCGCACTTCGAGGCGGAGCCTTTCTAAGGACGGCCCACACCACCCAAGACTACTGGATCAATGAAGGGGGCGGGGAGATTCCGACTCTGCCTGGGGCCGATTCAAATAGAAGGAGCTCGGGATTGGCTGAATTGGGCCTGAGAGAGAAAAATCACGCGGCGATAGGTAGAAGTCTATGATTGGCAGGCTGAAGGCCCCGTGTCCAATTTCCATTGAGAAACGCTGTTTAGATTGCGGCGGAAGCGTGAGAATGAGAGGAGAGGTTGGGCTTGAAAAGATCCTAATCTCCCGTTGAGGAACTGGATTTGTGTGAGCACCAGCTGCGAACTGCAGAATTTGCGGACATGGGTGGAATTAAAAATTAATTGGCGAGAAAAAATTTAAGTGGCGTATGGCTTAAGGCCTGAAGCACGAACTATCCTCTGGAGGCTGGGTTTTACTAGTCTAAAATCCTAAACCACCAATGAAGTAGTGGAATTTAACAGCCTACTAGTCGGAATACTGACCGTTGAATGACAGACTCGCTTTCCAATGGAAGTGAGCATGAGGTAGGTGGGTGGAGCGATCTGTGTCAACCGACACTCCTTTAGACCAATGAGCAAGCCAGTTCCGTCAAGTAGGCGGGCCTTTGAGAGCTCAACGACGGAACAAACGAACCAATGAGCGGCGCGATCTTGGCGCCGCGCCCAATCGGCGGGACAGGTTCTCCGGGAGAAGCGAGGGAAGGCGGGAAAAGGGGAAGTGGGCGGATCACCGCACGCCCTCGCGGAAGAAGCTGATTCAGGAAGCCATTACGCCGCTGGCTGGCGGCGGCTGGGCCCTTCAGGCCTGGGCCCTACGCACTTTGCGTAGCGAGAGGGCTTCCCAAAGGCCTGGTTCTTGGCCTTGGGCAAGCCTGGCCTCTCCCCGTAGGGGGGGTGGTAAGGGGCTAGGCTGAGGAAGAAAAAAGAAAGGGAATTGGGGCGGTTGAGGGACTTATCGTTTATTTTAAAAGAAGGGAAAGGAGAGGCCATGGCTGTCCCGGCCAAGAAGAGGAAGATGAACTTCTCCGAGCGGGAGGTGGAGATCATCGTAGAGGAGTTGGAGTTGAAGAAGCACCTGCTGGTGAATCACTTCAATGCTGGGGTCCCCCTGGCTGCCAAGAGCGCGGCCTGGCACGGTATCCTAAGAAGAGTCAACGCCGTGGCCACCTGCCGAAGGGAGCTGCCTGAGGTCAAGAAGAAATGGTCTGACCTCAAGACTGAGGTCCGCCGCAAGGTTGCTCAGGTCCGGGCAGCCGTGGAAGGTGGTGAGGCCCCTGGGCCCACTGAGGAGGATGGAGCTGGTGGACCTGGGACCGGTGGTGGCGGTGGTGGCCCCGCTGTAGCCCCTGTACTGCTGTCCCCCATGCAGCAACGCATCTGCAACCTGCTGGGCGAGCCCACCATCATCAGCTTGCCCACGACCACAGAGATCCACCCTGTGGCCCTGGGACCCACGGCCACCGCCACAGTCACCCTGACACAGAGTGAGTGACCTCGCCTGCCCAGATTGACATGCATACATGGGAAGGAAGGGTCAGCAAGAGTTGGGACAACCTGGGGGAAACTGGCTGCCCGGGGTCAAAGATCAGATGGCGTTCTGGGAAGATCATTCGTGATCTTGTTCCCTTTGGGATGTCGTCAGCTCACGTAGTATGGACTACTGATGAGCTGGATAGTTTCCCGCTGTGTCTTCTCGCCATTTGTGTCCATGACTTCTCCTCACTTGCTGGACTCTGGTCCTTGAAGACAGAAACCCGTGTCCAGCTCCCTGGCACATAGTAGGCCATCAGGGGATACTTGAATGATGAAATGGAACGACTAATGTGTGGACAAAGACCATCTGCTCTCAGTGTGTGACTCTTCATCAGTTATGTCCCTGGGGAATCAGCTTATAATCTACATGTTCATTCGTTCTTCGAAAGTTAGCACTTTTTCCGTGCCAAGCCTGGGGCTGGGTACTGAGATTACCACAGTGTCTAGAATAGAGGCCAGATACATTCCAGTCAGATAGCTAGACCACACATAGGAATAAATGCACTATTGGATTGGAAGAGCTAGGGGCTCAGAAAAGGAAGAGGCATTTCAGCTGGGAGAATTCCAGCCTGGTAGAGGTGGGAGGGTATATGGCTGATGGTGACCTTTAGGAATGTTGAAGCTTAACCTTTCCTACATGCACGGAGGCCCAACCAGCTCCCCTAGAATGCCTGCTTAGGTTCTCAGCTCTGATCGACAGTGCTTGGCTCTGGTGGTTGGATTTTGTTAGTTCTGCTCTGTGTTTGGGTTTGTGACTGTTGTTGCATTTGAGGTGAACTATGATCCCTTATCAGTCAGTGATGGTCAGTGAGGCTTGGAGAACTCTAGTATCTATGAGTGCCTTCAACCTTGCAGTTACTGAACGAAAGGTATCGTTTCCCAGGTATATTGAGATGGGAAAAAGAGAACAAATGTTCTAAATCACTTGCTATTCTGGAATAAGAAGGGAGGACCTTTAGGTATCCCGTGGTCCAAGGTGCTCAGGAAAACAGTGAGGCAATTAGTGGGCACCTTTGCTGCTGCATCGTGGAGGTGTATTGGGTATGCATGGGGCTGAGATCCACAAGGGCAGCAGTTTGAAACCACCAACCAATCCATGGGAGAAATACAGGACTTTTTCTCTCGTAAAGAATTATAGTCTCAGAAACTCACAGGGGCAGTTCTACCTCTGCCCTATAGGGTCGCGATGAGTCGGAATCGGCTTGATGGTGGTGAGTTTGGCTTGGTTTTCCTGCGGCTGCTGCTGCCGCCCCACACCTGTTTTGCTTGCCCACAAGGGATGTGCAGGTCACAGAAGCACCACAGGAGGCAGGGCTAGTCTGACTACACATGGCTTTATGTGGCGAGCCCCACGCAGATGCCCAAGCCATTATTAGCTAGAAGCAGCTTTGAGGGGTGATAAGAAGCAGGTTGAACTCTGATGGCAGGGAGACTTGGGCTGGCATCTTGGTAATGCTGAATTCACTGTGTGGAGTTAGCGAGTTGCCCCGTGTTTCTGACTCAGTTTCCTCATCTCTGCAGATGAAGGCGACGATGGGCTCTTGGTGTTATTATGAGGAGTCATCAAGCTGAGTGTCTAAGGCTCACCTCAGTGCTGGTCACCTAGGAAGTGTTCTCAAACTGTTGTTAGTACCATTATTAGCATCTTTGTTTGGGCCAGACCTAGGGTTGGCCCTTCGGTTACCAAGCAGATTAAATGTCTAAATCCAAATCTTCTTCGATGCTAGATTGGGGGGAGGTAAATAGCTATAAAGCCAGGAAACGCCTGGATTCTCCTGGGTCTCTCTCTCTCTCTAGGACAGTTTAATGGCTGCCTTTCCACCCCACATAAGGAACCCTGGTGGTGTAATAGCGAGTTGCACATTAGGCCACTAACCTCAAGGTCGGCAGTTCAAAACCACCAGCTGCTCGGCAAGAGAGAGATGAGGCTTTCTACTCCCATAAAGGGTGACAGTCTTGGGAAATTCACAGGGCCAGTTCTAGCCTGTCTTACAGGGTCGCTGTGAGTCAGAGTGGACTCGATGACAGTGTTTTAGTTTTCTCACCCCAGGCGGCCAGCTACAATCCTAGAAAGTGACCTGCCCCTGCCTTTGCTCTTTCTTCCCTGCAGTCCCCACCGAGACCACCTATCACACCCTGGAGGAGGGAGTGGTGGAATACTGCACAGCCGAGGCCCCCCCAACCCTGCCGGCCGAGGCCCCCGTGGAGATGACGACCCAGCACGCGGACGCCTCGGTCAAGCCGCAGGCGCTTAAGAGCCGCATTGCCCTCAACTCGGCCAAGCTGATCCAGGAGCAGCGGGTCACCAACCTCCACGTGAAGGAGATTGCCCAGCACCTGGAGCAGCAGAACGACCTCCTGCAGATGATCCGCCGCTCCCAGGAGGTGCAAGCCTGTGCCCAAGAGCGCCAGGCCCAGGCCATGGAGGGCACCCAGGCGGCCCTGAGCGTCCTCATACAGGTCCTCCGACCCATGATCAAAGATTTCCGCCGCTACCTGCAGAGTAACACGCCAAATCCCGGTCCTCCGGCCTCTGACCCGGGACAGCTGGCTCAGAATGGACAGCCAGACAGCATCATCCAGTGAGGGCCAGGATCAGGCTAGCCCTCTGCTGTGATTGGATAAAGCCCCCAGGGCGGGAGGCCATGTTAGTGGTGTCTGTGATTGGCCTTGGGCCAGAAGCAGCCCCGTGGCCAGCTCACTCACCAGTGGACATCTAAGGGCCTAGTGTTTCTGTGACCTGCGGGTGATTGGAAAGGGGAACTCGTTAGGCAAATGCTCCGATCCTCTACCATTTGTGCTGTGTTGCTAAAAGCGGGTAGGTTAGTAACCTGGGGGTCCAGCCCAGGTGATGGGACATGTGTTGCCACGAGCTAGGGCCTGTGACATGCCTCAGAGCCAATGGAGAACACCTGTAAGCAAGGCTGTCCCTGGAAGTGCTCTCAGGGCTGGGGTCTGGCCGAGCTGCCCCACCCCAGGTGCCACCATATGCTTAAGACCCTGTCAGTGGTGCTGGCAGGATGGTAATAACGTCTTTCTCCCAGACAAGGCAGAGTGACCCGGACACCCCTGCTCACTGTGTCTCCGTTCTCAGGGGGCTTCAGTGAACCCTGGGTTCTCACCCCCAACTCCCAGGGATTTTCGTGCCCTGGCTGTGCCCGAGATACTGCCAGGAGGGCCACAGCTATGGCTTGGGAAGACGGTCTTGGAGCAGGCAGCCAGGCCCAGGGATGCTGAGTGCCATAAGGATTGGCGTGGCTGCCCCTGACCTTCCAGAGCCCTGGGCAGCCCTCGGGTGGTTTGTCCCAACACCTTTGCACTCAGGTCGTGCTCCAGCTCTGGGGTGCTGTCCACGGTGGAGAAGCTGGGAAGAGGAGACGAGTGCGGACACTGTCACCACAGTCCTCTGCTGGCCATTTCTTTCCAGAAGGCTTGCCGCCAGCCAGTAGTGTTTATTCTGCCCACGAACCCCTTCTCGGACCGCCTCGGGGACCTCCGAGCCCCGTCCTGTGGCCACACCCTGCTCCCTTCCCGCCCCCTGACTCCTCCATGCTCCCTCCAATGGAACCTCCACGCACACACACGCACCCACCAACACCGTTGGCATCACCCTCTGGACTCGAGCGAGCTCTCCCGCAGCACGCGCCGCGTCTAGAATTGACCCAAAGCCATGACTGGCACTGAATGTAAGAGGTGGGAGAGTCCACGTGGACCTCTGGGGGACTTGAAGTCCGCCCTCCTCCATCCTCTGCGCGGGGGAAAGGCAGGCCCACCTGGCCTGCAGGACGAGGGGGATGTTCCCGGTCCCGTCTCTCCCTTTCCTCCGCGGAGGCGGAAATGCAGGGACTTTACCCAGAGAGCGTTTGTTTCATTTTCAGAATCGCCATCAATTCCAGGGACCCCGGTGTCTCCCCGACGTCCTTCCCTAGTTCTCGGTGCTGAGGCCACAATCCACATTCTGGCTCCAGATCTTAGGGAAACAAGTGCAGGACGTGGCCAGCCTGGACACGTGCTGACCATGGGAAGATGTCCCCAGAGACTGTTGGAAGGTGATGGCCATGCCACCAGCCATCCCTCTGTGCAGGCACGTCTAGAGTGTGGAGAGGAAGCCGGGAGAGGGTTGAGTGGCACAGAGACACAGCTGCTGTGTGGCTGAAAAGCGGCAGCCCTGGCAACTGCGCCCCTGCTCCTGGTCCAGGGAGCCCCGACAGCCCCAGCAAGGTAGCTGCAGGCCCTTCCTGCAAATTTGCTGCTCGGTTAGGTTTCCTCTGGGGTTGGGAAACCGAACCAGTACCTCCTGTGTTCCAAATGGGTAGAAAGGGGAAGCATGGAACCCTGGCGGACCAGTTGTTTGCAGGCCATCCTTTTAAATTAAAGAGCTATCACCTGTTTGTACATGTCGCTGTGTCTTTAATGGTTATGTCGGAGAGATGCAAGGTGGCCCCCTGCCTGTTGGTGTAAATAAAGTTTTATTGGCACGTAGCCATACCTGCTTGCGGACTTAGTGTCTAGGAAGCCTTTTGAGCTACAGCAACAAAGTTGAGCATCTGTAACAGAAACACCTGGCTCACAAGGCTCCAAAGATTTACCATCTAAATTCTGAGCACCCTGGTTTGCAAAAGGTTATGGATGGCAGTGGCAGCCCCAAATCCACTTGTAGTGTCCCCACATAGAGTAAGCCTCTCTTGGACGCTCTCTGCTCATTGCCCAGGGCTGTAGATCATCTTGCCCTCACCACGAATGCCTGGGAGAGTGGATTGCCTCCACCCTTCTCTGGCCAGCCCAGGGAGGGCAGTCTCTCTTAGAGGGGCTTGCCTGGGGGTGTCTTTGATAGAGGTCACTATAGGGGGTTGAGTAATCATGAGTCCCTGCTCTTACCTGGTTGGCCCTGACTGTGTTGGTCAGAAGACCCGGGACCAATCTTGAGAGGCCTTCTATCTAACAATATGCGTGTCCCCATCATGGACTCATCCCTGCTTCTATATGTAGTCCCACCTGTGACTGTGATGGGCCACTCTGCCACCAAGCATGCCTTTTGTGACAGTTTCCTCCCTACCACTACCCCCTTCATACATTCTCTCATCTTGAGTCTCAATTATGAACCCTTTGGCACCATTTCAGCCTCGTGATGGTGGATGGTGGTCTCCCTCATCCAGATGTTGGGTCTGTCTGTCTCTTTTAAGACTACACACACACACACACACACACACCATCTGACCCTGCATAGAAAAAGGGTGCCTGCCCATCTCTGACTTGGTGCAAATGGCTAACTGGAAAGTTGTTGACAGGTGGTGTCCACCTGGACCCCCCTTAGATGGAAAGTCTCGTCTACTTCTAAAGAAAAACCAGCCACTGAAAGCCTTATGGAGGAAATCCTACTCTGACACGCACAGGGTGGCCTCACTGTGGGTTGGAGTTGAGAGCAACTGATGGTGGGCCCCTGAGCTAAAGCAGTGCTTCAGGTGTTGAACGAGAATCACCTGGGGTGTTTATTAAGCACACACAACTCCTGGTCTCACCCAAAGTCTCTCATAGACTTAAACTCAAACCCCAACTCACTACCAAGAGTTGATTTTGACGCCTAGTGACCCTATAGCGTAGGGTAGAACTGCCCCTGTGAGTTTCCGAGACTAACTCTTTATGGCAGAAAGCCTCATCTTTCTCCAGGGGAGTGATTGGTAGTTTCAAACTGCTGACCCTGTGGATTAAAGGAGCCCAACTCAGAACCACTATACCACCAGGGCTCCAATAGACTCCTAAAATACACATTGTATACAAATTTTGATAGTGATTTTGGTACTACCTGGAGGTTAAGAATTTGCCTCAAAGGCTGAAAGATTTCAACTCCCCTAGTCCTGGTGGGAGGACCCCTGAAGGCATAGTGGTTATGTGGTGGGCTGCTAACCTTAAGGTCAGCAGTTCGAAACCACCAGCCTCTCGGAGCAAGAAAGATGAGGCTTCCTACTCTAGTAAAGAGATACCCTCTCACATTATTTGTGTTTTTATCTCATAGTAGTATTATTATTGTATCCTTACCACTTTATTTTGCTTCTGTTTATTCTTGTTTCTGTTGGGTTTTCCAGTTTGTGAAGCACAGAAGGAGTAGATGCATAGAGGTATAACAACTGATGCAAGGGTGTATGGGGGAGGTAGGTGTGGGGGTAGGAGATGGGGAGGGTGAGGGGGTTGGGAGCGCAAACAAAGTACACGGGGGAGGTGGAGTAGGGTGGGGTGGAGGGAACCCTAGAACTGATGGTAACTGCACACCTCATTTTAAAAGTGACAACCATTAAAAAGTGTTCTAAAATGGATTGGAGTAATTATTGTATAATTCTTCTTGATATGATGGAACTGTTTGAATTGTATGATATGTGCATTATGTGGCAATAAAACTGTAAAAGAGAGAGAGAGAGATTTACAAAAAAGAAAGAAAGAAAGAAAAAGTTAGTCTCAGAAACTCAGGCAGTTCTATCCTGTCCTACAGGGCCGTGATCAGTCCGGATTGACTCGATGGGAGTGGATTTGGGTGTCAAGAAGGACACCTGGTGGTACTGTGGCTCACGCCATGGGCCACTGAGTTCAAAGTCAGAGATTTGAGGCCACCTGTCCGCTCCCCTGAAGACGATCTGCCTCAGGAACCCTGGGGAGCAATTCTACTGTCCCTTGGAGTCACTGAGAGTTGACCCCGTGGAGCATGTTTGGTCGTGGGTGTTGGGTGGAGAGGATTTGAACTTGACCTTGAAGTGTTTCTCAGTCAAAGCAGGAAGCCCAGGGGACAGATGATATTGTTCTTTTTGGCTCCTGGAAGGAAACACTGTGACCTTGACTCCTCAGGACAGGTGTAGGGTTACTTTGAAAAGGGACAGAGGGTGGCTTCACAGGATTAAACCCAGGGCACCTTGGTGCCAGTAGAGAACTCTCGTGCCTGTCACATGGTTTTTCTGCGATCTTTCCTAAAATGTGGGACATTCCACAAAGGAAGTCCTCCAAGCCACTGATGCTTGTGATTTTTGAGGACTGAAACCTTTTATGCTTTAAACCACTTTCAAAAGGATGTCTCTTTAAAATTATTTTTATTTAGCCCTGCCTTGTTCAATAGGAGTTGGGGAATGGGTCCAGGAGGTAGTGCAGACAGGGGGCACGTCTGTACTACACGTGTTGGGCTTCCCCGTCACACAGGCTGGGCTCAAGGTCCAGCTTGTTAACAGTGTTTCCGAACCTTTCTCAGTTTCTTCCTGATTCTTGGATGGAATCACAAATGATAATCCTTGTAGGGATTGAATGGGAGCCGTGGGTGGGGGGGGGGAGGTGGCTTATGCCCAAACCACAGATAGGCACACTTGTTCTGTAAAAGGACAGGGGGAAGATGGAGGCTGTCTGCACCTGTAAAGATACAGGCTCAGAAATCTGACCGTTAACTTGGAAGGTGCACGATCCTGCCTGCAGACAGAGTGGATTACTGCACCTTCCTAACCAGCCCAGGCAGGGACAGCCTCCCTCAGGGGCTTGCCTGGGCGTGTTCTTGATGGGGATCAGGGTTCTTGGGCCACAGAGTCATGAGGCCCTGGACCAATCGTGCAAGCTCTTCTCGTTAGCCTAATATATGTGTGCCCATTATGGTCCCAACCTTCACTTCTGTAGTCCCACCTGAAACTATGATGTACTGATCAGCAGCCAATCATGCTTCTGTGATAGTTTTCTTAGGCTTCCCTTGTCCTACGTAAGCTGCTGGTTCTCTGTAGACCCTTGGACGCTGTGTTAGAAGCAGATCCAAGGACACTCAGATAGGTGGAAGAAAGAGCTTTCAATCAAAGAGTAACTGCATACTAAGAAAACATCCCAGCTCAGTCCAGATCAAGTCCGTAAGTCTGATGCTAGTCTATGAAATCCTCGTTGGATTCACGCGGCGTATGCAATGATGTGAAATGCAGGACGAGCATAGGCAGTGGGTGTACAGTCCTGTGGATCCTGTGGCGGTGGAAGCATCTCCAGGTTCTGACCGGTCTCAGCATGGGTCCACGTGGCTTGCCAACGGAAGGTGAGAGAGACAGAGAGAAGAGGACCAGCGACCAGAGAGACATCTCTCTTGGGTGCCCTCCGATCAAGCTGTGACCTGATGGAGCAGCTAAACCCCACCCTTTGCTCTTAAGACCTTTACGTGGTCACCATGAGATGATGTAACTACCACGGCAGCATTGTGACCTTGCGGATGACCTCCCTCCTCTAGATGATGCGTCTTGGTCTTGCCTTTGTCCTGTGTAAGACTTAATAAATGTTCTCTGTTGATTCTATTTGAGATTTGGGGTCTCTTGTCCTCTATGTGGGAACCCTGGCGGTGTAGTCAGTTACACAGTGGGCTGTTAACCAAAAGGTGGGCAGTTCGAAACTGCCAACAGCTCCATGGGAGAGAGACGGGGCTTCCTACTCCTGTAAAGAGTTAGAGTCTCTGAAACCCACAGGGAAGTTCTCCTCTGTCCTAAAGGGCTGTCCCGAGTCTAAACTGATCCAATAGCAGTGAGTTTTGTCCCCTGCAAAGGGTCCTGGTGGCACAGTGATTTATTAGTGAGGCTGCTAGCCCAGAGGTCAGCAGTTTGAAACCACCAGCTGCTCACAGGGAGAAAGATGTGGCTCTCCACTCCCATAAAGACGAAGCGTCTCAGAAACCCACAGGGGCAGGTCTATCAGGTCCCTATGAGTCAGAATCAATTCTGTAGCAGTGAGTTTTTTTAAAAAATGCTTCAAGTGTGTCCTCTAAAACAGCGCTCAACTACTTACAGAAAGTTTGGCGGTGCAAACTGCCTGAGAGGCACCTCAGAGGAAAGGACTGGCTACCTGCTTCCAAAAGGCCCCTGCCTTGAAGACCCTATCCCGCAGTGCTGCCCACGGGCCGCCATGCGTTTAAACAGACTCAACAAGTACTGCCCCCAGCCATCATTCGACAGTGCCGATTGGCCCAAGTGGCACCGTTTTGTGTTTTAGTTTGGTCTGCCAGTGGGAGTCTTGCCAAAAGTGGTTTGAGCCAGATTAAGAAAGAGGTGATCAGAAAAGACAAGAAAAGACAGAGGTGACCCTGGAACTGGAGGGTGGGGCATCCCAGGAAGCAGAGGACCAGGGGACAGGGGACAGGGAGCCAAGGCCGGATGGGAAGGAGCTGAAGAGGGGACGCTCTATGGAAGGGCCCTGAAGAAGACGCATTATGCACAGAAGGCCTGGGTTCTGGGAGTCAGCTCGGCCCTCCCTGACTGGAGGCCCTGGGCTGGGGTTGTTTAATTTCTCTACACCATGGCTTCCTCCTCCAAAAACGCTTCTCCAATCAAGCTGATGGGGGAACGGTGTGCACGCTGGTGCTGCTACAGCCCTCGGCACGGTGCCAGACACAGAAGAGCCCAGT